CGAACCGTAACCGAAACCGAACCCGAAAACCGTAAACCGTAACCGTAACGTAACGAACGAACGAACGAAGTAGTACGACGACACGACACGAGAGAGGGGGGGGGGGGGGGGCGAGACACAGAAAAAGAAAGGAGCACGTGAAGAACGTGCATGCCCCTACTGCCTGGTAATGCCATCCCCACATCGGTACAGCGAATGTCCTGACAAGAAAGTAGTTCAAGCCAAGAAGGATGAGCAGCGAGCCAAGAAATATGTACACATAGGAAGACTGTCCATTACATCTGGTAAGGTAGAAGACATCACAGAGGGTGATGAGCACTGAAAACACTGGTAGGCGGAAGCAAACATGATTGACCTGTCTGACAGACTCAATGTATTTACAGATGAAGAAACGTTGTTAATAAATGCGAATGATATAAATTATCAACCTTTATCTTTACTTCCCGCACCACGAGACCAACGTTTACACATTGATATACAAATCAATGGCAATACATACAATGCGCTAGTTGACTCACGGGCACAACGCTCATGCATGAACAAAAGTGTAGTTTCAGAACTATATCTGTCTGTTAGAGCGCAACCTGGGTATATACAACTAGCACAAACAGATGCAAGAATACAACGCACTGGATCAACAGAAGTTTGTGACATTAACTATGGAGGGAGGAAGACCTTTAAGTGCTTTGAAGTATTGTACTTACCAGACAAAAAGACACCAATACTTCTAGGGATGGACATTCTACCATACAAAGACATATACATAGCAGGGTTAATCAATCCACTCATACCAACAGATGCAAAATGGGAATCACTCCTCATACCACATGAAGAGGACCCAGGGCATGAACAAGAAGGTTTCAGAGAGTCACATACAGACCTCCTGGATACCAATGCGAATATCCCTCCTGATGTTCATTGCAACCAAACAGACTACACAGTCACGGTACCTGCAAATGAAATCAACGTCAGACAAATGAGGCACGCTAAAGTCAATTTTGTTCCGCACAAATACATTCCGCAAACGGACGAGAATGTGCAACGATGGCTTAAAGATGGCCACGTATACAAACGCGACAAGCCCACAACGGTAGACCTACCTTTGTTATCAACTGGTGAACATGACCAAACAGGTCTACTCAAAATTGTCAGGACATGTCTAGACATTCGTGAGATCAATTATCAATATGAACAAGACAAGTTTGTGTTACCAAAATTAAAGGAAGTGTTACACAACCTACAAGGAGCACAGTTCTTTTCAAAGCTAGACCTTACGGGAGGATTTCATCACTTTCTAGTAGACAAAGCAAGCCAACATTTCTTCACATTCTCGTGAAGAGGAGCGCAATACTCATTCAAGTCCGCGCCGTTTGGACTACACTCACTCACAACACAATTCCAGAGAGTCATGGCGAATCTGCTCATAGATATCAAAGGAGTGCAAGTATATGTGGATGACATAGTCATTGCGAGTCATACAGAAGAAGAACACCGCAAACCAGTTCGTGAAGTAATCAAGCGACTGAAAGCGCAAACATCCGACTCAATCACTACAAGTGTGCCTTTGCGGTCAAAGTGGACAACATTCTTGGGGTGAAAGTCACTACACAGGGACCCAAAGCAGACCCTGAGAAGCAGAAAAGAATGATGGATTCGCCACTACTCAGAACAAAAAGTGATCTGCACAAAGCAGTGGGACTAGTAAATTACCTGCGAGACCATGTCCCTAACTTTGCTCACACAACGAAACACTTTCGGAACCTAATGAAAGGAAAAATGAACCAGAACATATCCATGTTATGGACTCCGGAACTAATCAAGAAGTGGGAAGAACTCAAAGAAGCCATCGCCTATTCAGCGACGCTAGCATATCCTGTTGATGGGGTACCGTTTCAAATTACGAACGACGCTAGTGACTATGGCATAGGAGGGTGTTTATTTAAATCATCGATGGAGTTAGAAGAGGCATCCTCTACTTCTCAAAAGGCTTGAATCCAGCACAACAACGCTATGGCACAAACACCAAAGGGCTACTAGCGCTGGTATACAGCCTGGAACACTTCTCCGAATACATCAAAGGGGGGGGACATAACACTGTGGACAGATCACAAAGCGCTCACGCAAATGAACAGTCAACAGACGTTACACCCAATGCTAGCCAAGATCAAGATGAAATGAACAAGTTAACAGCACCAAATGACGGACCATGCAACCCAGTATGCAGGGAGGGCAACGGGTATTTTGTCTGTAACCTTGATGGGACTGAAGCCCCCGAGTACCCTGACTCGATCAGCGATGAGCTGCTTGGCCTCGTAAAAAGGGCCAGTGCTCAGGAAACATTTACTTCCAACAATCACGTACAACCAAACGAAGAGACTCAGTTCTCATCGATAGTCGATGACAGACCGCCCATCCGAGGTGATGGATCCCAGGAGTACCTACTGCAATGGACAGATGGTGAGCGTATTTGGACGCATGAATCAGACATCGCCGATGAACCCTAAAACCGTCAACGCCGGAGACGTAAAAGAAGGCAGTCAAGGCCAAAGAAGCCAGCGACAACGAGCACTGATGAAAGATCAGCGAGCCACAGACCGCGCACGAGGCGGGGGATCTAAGCAAGTCTCACTGATACCACGGGAAACTCCCACTTTTCTCGTCTAGAAGCATGCTCCCCCCACACACCAGAGGGACAAGGACCAGAGACTCGGTTGCTTAGCCACCATTGAGATGCGATTTCCGAAGCCAAGTTGAGATCAACCGAGAGCACCGGTCAAGACTGACTCCGATGAGCGTGGTAGAGGACTCCTGCTATAGTATAAATTTAATCAATCGGTAATATGTAATTGATAATGGTGGCATGTTTTTCATCTTATGCCCCCTAAGGGACAAGTTTTTCCTGTATACAAACACCAACCTCTAGATAATCTAGTACTGTAAGATGTCACTTTCTACTCCTACGCAGGCTAAGAAGCATAAAGTTGGGGGGCAGTAGCATCTAGGGACCAGATTATCAAAAAGCCAATCCAAATCCCAAACCCCAGAATCATCAAATACTGAGTTTTGGAATTAGGATTGGAATATTTCTAATTTTAAAGTCATCAGAAATAGTAGCGGTAGAATCGGTGAGATATACCGGTACTCCCACGTGCGAGAGAAACACTCAAGTAAATCCTGAGTCTAGTAATAACACAAATAAAGACTCAGTTCGGTTCTCTCAGACTAGAGACTTTTCCTAGCTGAGATAGCCGTAGTTGAGAAAAGGTCTATTATATCCTATTGTCTCGTACCTTTCAGCTACTCTCCATACTATACAAGTGAAGTCCTTGCCGTTTGACACGGATGTCTTGATTGGCTTTAGGGACTTACGGAAGGAACGCTTATCCCTTATGTGGACCAGGCAGGATTGGTTGGCAGTGGTTTATCAGACGCAGGTCATAGACTTCTTAGAGTCTCAAGCGGCAGATGAGGACCAGCCGGAACCGCAGAGCCCGCCGGGTAAGCGGGCGAAAGCGCGGCGCGCATGAGTTCGAAGCAAGAGGCGGAGACTTGATGTGCGAATGCCGCAGAATCTGAAACTCAACTCGCTACGCAGCCATCTCGGCTTACGTGCGATTCACAGGAATGAGTTTAAGGAGCAGCAACGCAAGATTGCGTCAGTGCCAGCGCACTTTATGGAGCTGGATGATGCTGACGAGTATGTGCTACCTCGTCTTCACGACTTGCTGGCGGAGGTTGATATGCCTATTGGCGCGACTACTGTATCCCCGGCCAAAGAGGTGGATCCGCAGGCGCACTTGAAGTTCGACCAATCCCAGCTACGTAAGCTGCACAAGGCTTGCGGGCTGCCGAAGCGGGAGTTGGACAACATGATCAAAGATATCCAGTCTGCAGCATACAATGCGGCTGCGCCCACTTTCATAGTTTTTGATGATATCCGTTTTCGTAACGGGGTTGAATTCAAAGTGAAAGAGGGGTCGCAGCCGTGTTACAACGTTTACCCTAACAAGGATCCCACCTTCACCACGGTGCTTGGCGGGAAGGTTGGTGATTGGGCTCATGGTGGTATTACTCGTGAGATATCGGAAGCCGAGGCGAAGGGTTATTGTACAATGCCACATATGGTCTTTGAGAAGCCTGGGTTTGTACCGTTGTCAATTAATGATTGGCGTTGTTGTATAAATTACAAGAAGCTCAATGGTACGTTGGAGTGTGAGGAGTATCCAGTGCCTACGGAGCAGGAGTTCTTGTCGTCGGTACGCGGCAAGAAGTATCGCACCATGGTGGATCTCAGTCAATGGTTCTGCCAGCTCAAGGTTGCGGAAGGATCGCAGCATCTCTTGACGTTCTGGACGCCTTGGGGCAAGCGCACTTTTGTGGGCATGTCGTTTGGTATCAAGCCGGCGTCTTGGGTTATGCAGCAACGGATGGAACAGGCTTTCCAAAGTGTAGACGGCCTTAAGACATATATTGATGATATAGGTGTGGGCGACAATGATGCTAAGCAGCATTGGAAGAGCATCAAGGCCTTGATTGAGGCCTGTAGGAGGCAGAATGTCTTGCGAAGTGGTCGGATTTAGGTAGAGTGGTAGCCAGGATCAGGAGGGACAAGATAACGGCTACGTTGGTGTGTCCGTACGCTCCTGAGGCAAGGTGGTTCAAGGTGATGGTACCCATGCTTCCAGCAGATCCGGTAGTGATCTACCCAAAGGAAGGTATATTCTTAAAGCATGGCCGCGATGTTATGCCAGCGCCTGACTTTGTGACATTGGTGTGTCACATGAGTCCGTACAGACCGCACAACTTGCGCAAGGACTTTTGGGAGAAACTGGAAGCGGAACGTCCCGTCGACGAGAGGTTAGCTGCGGCGGCAGTAAAACGTGAGGATGAGGTTGTCTCCTGTATGGTGCAGGAGGACACAGTGGGTGCTGTGACTCATCCGAGTGGTATGAGAGTTAGGTGTGGGCTCCCTGCAAAGGAAGCAAGGGTAGAGACCACATCCATCTCTGCGGTAGGTGCGTTTTCCACGCAGTCCTGGTAGGATCCCAGCGGGGTGTTGGACCAGTCAGTACGAAAGGCGGAAGCCCAGCTGGGAGACGATGACAAGTCTCAGGCTGGGGGGTCGTTAAGAAATATGTACACACGCAGTCAAAGTGCGAAGTCCCCGAAGCTCACTAGGAGACAGAAGGATTCGGCCAAGATTATGGAATGGACAGGGGTACGATCTGTCCCATAGAGATGGTTCGACCCCATCGGAGTTCATGGGTCGTCCGGTTCAGGTCGAACTGATCCGATTAGTACACCGTAGCACCGATCCACCGCTTGACGAGAGTTTGTGGCGCGATGATGGAACGGCGTTCCGACACATCATTAAGCATCTTAATATACCCCATGATGTAACAGCAGTTATACGACATGTATATAAATTATACTTTTTGTGTTATGTACTGATATAGTCTTCACTCTGTAGTGGGGAAGATATTTAGCAGATTGATTAAGAATGAATGTTGCACGACAACGGTATGCATCCATACATAAATTCAATGTCAATACATCCTAATTGTCTTGAATCTGAAGCGTAAAATGGTACACTCAACCCAATGATTCCGATATGAAGCAGCATATTGAGATGATGGTCCTGGCAGTGGGATAAGAATATGCTTCACTTTTGAGATGATTTTGCTATTATTTGAAATGGACTGTCAGTTGAAGTTTGGCAGTCCAAAGGGTTGAGGGATTATCAGATTATCAGGGCTTAAACAAATTTGGCTTTACGTCGTTGAAGTATTGGGCTAATATAGTTGGTTGAATATGCTATTGTGACCTTACCAAATACTAATAACCAAACAGCTCGTATAGAGATACTGTGCTCGTCCGATTTCGACCACTGAAGAGAAAAAAAAAGTGGGAATTTTAAATACAAAATAGGGGACCAAACAACAAATTTACCTTTATCCTAGCACCTCTGATAGTGTATCTATCAATAGCCTCAAGACGGATATATAGCCATACAACTCTGATTATAGGTCACAGCAGTGGTTCCCAGACAGTGACATGATAACATAAAGTGACAGCCACTTATGTTGTGTGAGGAACCCTCTATGAAGAATGCTATCTGTCCTGCAGCAACGAGCAGTGTCACAGTGTGCTTTTTCCTCGGCTATTGCGCTTTTGAATTTAAGTGAAATTTCGCAGCTACATACATTGTCGTTTAATTCACTTGGTCTTTAGCCTTGTGGCAAACACTCTAAGAAGCAATGCCGTTATATGTATAGGTAAATATAGATAGATATACAGAAAACAACACACAGCGGTGCATGCTCTTTATATTGTTGTTTGTATGAATTAACCACCCAAAATTTTAGTACAAATTGGAATTGATGATATATTTATACTCATATAGCCTTCTAAAAACTAGACATTCAGAAGGCTATCATCTCGGCTGAATTTATTGCATCATTCCAACACCAACTAGTCCCAAGTTTCAATACGTCTACATTCGTCGACCCCAATCCCGCATACAAGTCCTAAGTCCTTAGTCCTTCGAACATCTACAATTCTACTTTCAAACCTTTAAAAATCGAACTATATAAACAATTATCAATGGATATAACTATAGATACTGATCAAGCAACAATTCAGCTTAGAAAAACTTAGAATTGACGATATCTCCAAATTCGGACCGGTCCTGTTGTCCTGACGCCATCTGCTCGGCTCGGCTGCGCACAAACTTGTGCACGCCAGCACGCACCGCCTCTACAGCCGATTGCTCACTCTTCTTAGATGGCTGTGGTAACATTTGGTAATCGGAGGGGGGGTTTATGGACACCGACAAAAGTGGATGTGTGTGTGTGTGCATCAGTGTGTATGAGTGTGTACTATAAGGATTTGGAAATTGAAGGAATTTCAGTGAACAACGATAAAAGTATTGTGTGTGCATGAGTGATTGCACGAGTGTGTACTTTTCAGATTCAAAAATTGGAGGGATTTTGCTGCCAATACCACGTGTTTGACAATATCATATATATACCTATACATACATTTATAAACACAAATATATAAACATATATATATATATAGATACATATATATAATTGTATATATATGTCAAAATGTATATACATACATACATACATACATACATATACATATGTATATCCATATATATATATCAATACACACACACACGCACATACACACACACACACACATATATATATATATATGTATACATGTACACACACATACATACACACACACACACTCACATATATATATATATATAGAATATACGCAGAGGGCAGATAGAAGAGCACACGAATGTGACATGAATTACGCTTACCATGGCAGCCACCCCAGCGTATATATCTTGCACTTGGCGCTCTTTGAGCCATGATGGTCGTGCTACCGCGGGCACTTTATCGCCATCAACGTTGCCAATATTCGTAGCTGTCATTTGGAAAAGTCCTATAAAGAGGCCAGTTAAATCGAGAGTTAGGCCATATAAGTGGTGCGATGGTGACTGATGTAATAGCAGAAAGGTTTAGGAGATTAACTGATCGGCCTATATCATCATAACCATACTCTGGGCTGTCATCGGGAAGTAGACATACATATATAAGCACATACATAAACAATTTTTATTTATTTAAATACGTGTCTCTGGTCTCGACTACTGGTCGCCTTATATACCAACTGTCCATCCGGCATGCTTATTGCTAGGTGTGTACATGTGACTAAACAACCACAATAACCTAGTTTAGCCGTAGAGAGTGCACAGGGGATCTTGCAACCAATATACCCTGGTACCCAAGTCAGGAAATAAGGAACCGCCGAGTATTGTGTTATAAAAGGTACAGTACTATAGGCAGTAATTGCGTACAAATATAAGTGCAAATATTTGTGTATGTCAATTGCTTACTATTTCTAACCGGCTGCGATCAGCTTTGTACAGGTGATGGGTGCGCCGATATCCTTCTCGACATCAAAATAAGACTTGTAGGAAAGTGGTCCATATACGTCACTCAAACTTAGGAGGCGTTTACATACAAGGATATATAAAATATAGAAGCGTGTGGACTTGCACATACCAATGTATATACTCCCTACCAGCTTAGCTCAATTGTGTACAAACGATGCGTGCTAGTCAACATTCTCGACAACAAGCCCTTTTTCATAGAGCAGCTCGGTTATAAACTAAAGCCACCATACGGATACATATATATAGGAAGTACCAACATACGAATGCATATACTCCTTACCCGCTTCAATCAGCTGTGTACAAATGATGCGTGCTTCGGTAACCTTCTCGATTTCGGGGAAGAAGAAGTCACCGTGCTTGGTATTGAACCACAGGTACAAGTCCAAACGCATGTGTCGGTCAGACAGTGCGCTCATCGCCTGCGTGCGACAAAAGCGAGATACATTATGCATCGAGCAAAACTTCGTATTTATGAGCGTGGTTATGGGTTATATACATACATACATACACACACATATATATATATACATATATATACATATACACACACACACACATATATATATATATATATACATATACATACACACACATATATATATATATATACAAATATATATATATATATATATATATAGAATACTTATATAGATATATATATTATATATATATATGCACGCACACACATATATAGATATATATAAATATATATATATATATATATATGCACGCACACACATATATATATGTATCTTGTATATATATATTTATATATGTGTGTGTTTGTGTGCATTTAGAAGCTGAATCATACTTACTCAGTGACACATACAAGAGTACATGCACTTGTGCGTTTACACATACCGTTGCATCGGTTGGAATAGCGCACTTTTCCAATTCAGCCATGTCGTCCGCAGGATACGGGACCACCTCCATATCACAGTAATTGCTCACATAGTGCTGTAAGATGTAACAAGAGTTAAAAATAAGCATTAGGTGAATGTATAACTCGACTTTGTTTAGTCTAAAGTGAGTATTAAATTGTGGTGTGTACTACGACATACAACACACATATACCAACATACAACTTACGTATTCACACACATACAGCACTCACACGCATACAACAACACACGTACAAACATACAGCAGATTTACTCACATATAAAACACACACGTACAAGCATAGTACATACGTACTCACACACATACAAACATACAACACACATAGCCACACACATGCACACACACTTACAAACATATGGTCATTGCAGACGGGATCGTCTGCATTGAGAGGTGCACATGTGTACTGCCACCGGTCCGTCATACCCAATTTCTCATTCGAGATTGGGTTCAGAAGTTTGGCAATCTGTGCGTTAGTTAAGTAGGAATTGAAAATAAACAATAGCAATATAGAATCAAATGAGATGAGGACGTGTTAATGTTTTGAGCGCGACGAAAAATTAGGTCGAGCAGTTTAGAAATCTAATATATATATATATATATATATATATCACAATATCACAATATATA